AAAATAAATGAATAATAATAACATTAAAATAAAAAAATAACAGTTAATTTTGAACAAACTTAAAATAAAAAATTATTATTATTTTTCAAATAAAAGAAATATTATTATTCTGAAACAGGAGTATATTATTACACAAAAGTGAGCAGATTTAAAAACCTAATCAGCATTTGATTTTAAACTGGTAATAACATCCATAAATTGCCACCTTCCTTTAAGAAGAAAAGCCAGTAATGCGATGAAGGTGGGGTCTTCCTAGCAACTTGCAACAATAATGAGAGATGTTTCGTTCTCCATTGCAAATACTACCTACAATTGCTCTCTGGTTATGATTACATGGATGCCTTGTGATTGAAACAATTAAGACTCAAATCAGCTAAAACACTAATGTTCTGTTTTTCTGTCCAAGCAATTTGGACTGTTATGGTATTGAGAAGAACCTCAATAGTCCATGCCACCCATGCCACCCATTGCTGGAGTTTCCTTCTCATCCTTTGGGAGCTCAGATACAATAGCTTCGGTTGTTGTCATTAATGATGATACACTGCAGAACAAAGGCAGGATGTCCAGATGGTTACTTAAAGATACCAGGACATAAAGATATAAGAAAAAATAGACAGAATTATAATCACTTTTCCAGCTTTACCTTGCAGGCTTGCAGCATCAACCAAGGCAGTTCTAATAACTTTCAATGGGTCAATGAGACCGGCTTTAACCATGTCAACATATTCACCTGGTTATGAAAAAGAAGAGGTAGCATAAGCCTTTTTTAAGTGCGTCTGTCTTACTTATAAGTACATAACACCTAAATGAAAAGAAACACAAGATGTGCACTGACCTTTGGCAGCATCATATCCAAGATCAGGGTTATCTTGTTCCAACAACTTGCCAACCACAACAGCTCCCTCAACTCCTGCATTGGAAGCAATTGTGTACACAGGAGTCTGCAATGAAATAAGATAATTTATGTGGGTGAGCCACACTTCTGCACATGTCATTATCTGCAATGTTTGTATTTCTAACTTTTTTCACCATAACATATAAAACCTTTCCAAATTCAGAGGTACTGTCAAACTTGCAACACTAGCTTTCAACACATTGATCCATTTGATCTGAATACAAGAGTCATACAAACCTTCAGAGCATTCTGAATAATCTGAACACCAATCTTCTGGTCAAAGTTGTCAGTAGGCAGCTTGTCCAACTCTTCTGTTCCATACAAAAGAGCAACACCACCACCTACATGGCAGAACTCCTTTAAGCATGCTTTCAAATTCAAAATCTGAGGGATACAAGTGGTAAAAACAACTTAAAAGACTTAGCAGGAACCCTCTTCTACAGAAGCTTTTGTGGCATTTAAGGCATCTGTGACTCTGTCCTTTTTCTCACCAACTTCAGTTTCACTAGCTCCTCCAATCTGTTTGCAAATTTCCAGAGTTTTCCATTCAACACATCAAAAGAAATATCAAGATAAGAATGTCCATAATTACTTAACGTGAAGACAACCCTGCAGTTACTAAATAGCTAGAGTGGAAGCAAGTTGAAGCATTTCAAAGATGAGTTGCTGGCAAGTGAATAAATGCGCTAACACCAAAGAGAGTAGGCAGACTTTCAAAACAGCAACACCACCAGACAGCTTTGCCAATATTTCTTGCAACTTCTCTTTGTCATAGTCAGAGGTGCTCAATTCAATTGCTGACTGTCATTTTTAAGCACATAATCAAGTTATTACTTAGGATCGCAATGGAATTATGACAAATAACAGATTCTGTCATCAAAAGTAATAAAAAACAAATATCTGCCCACAAGGCAGCAACATTTACCTGTTCACGTCTTTCCTCGATAGACTTCTTGTCACCAGCCCCATCAAGAGTTACAGTATCATCTTTTGACACAGTAACCTAATGTAAACAAACAGACCATGCATCAAAAAAACTGCAGGATGTAGTTACCAACTGCTCCAAATCTCAAAATTCACCCATTAAAAGTATCAACAGATAATCACAAGTCAGTCGAAAATTTCCAACACAAAACAGAACAATTAAAGAGTTGAGAAGCAACAATGGAAAGTGCAAACTTCACAAACTTATAGTGACTTTTTGCATGATCTAAGCACATCAAAATCCACCTTCTCGAGGTTCATGCCAAGTTCTTCAGTTATAACCTGCGGTAGAAAAAGCAGCAACAATTATTAAAAAAAAAAAGTTTCGATTACAATACCGAGAGATCTTAATTTTGACAACAATATAATATAAACGACAGTATCATCACCTGTCCTCCTGTAAGGGCAGCAAGATCATGTAGACCAGCCTTCCTATTCTCTCCAAAACCAGGAGCCTGGCAACAACAACGGCAGCAGCGGTGGCAGCAACAGAAGTGGCAGCTGCTGCTGCTAATCCAACTGGCATGGAGCTAGATTCACCAGTGGATCCAATTATCCAAATGAGCCCACATGCTATTTCTGCAATCAAGTCAGCTTTGGTGAGATGGTGGCATGCGATAACCCTGATGTAAGTAACCAAGTTTATTGTTTATCTCTCTTGGAAAAAATCTTTTGTCTTGTTTTTTAAATTTATCTGATACACAAGTCTTTGCTTCTTTCAACAATGCAAGATAGAATGGTTTCATTTTGGATGTGTTGGTCTTAAAGAACAACCAGAAGGAAAATTGTATTGTTCAGACTGTGCTGCTGCAAAAAATGGCCGCAAAAGCAGATGATGCTGAATTTCTATTTTTACAGCCTTGATGTCTAAGTTTATGTTTTGCAGTGACTGTAGTATGTTGTCAACTCTTATCATATCGTTGTCTGTTATTTCACACGGTTCGGGAACTTCTATGGGTATATTTAGGATCAGTTAGTATTTCAATTGTATACTTGTATGACTTATTTAAAAGAATTTTGCAGGAAGATTTAGAGACTCCTTCAGTAAATAAAATTATATTTCTTCCTACCAGAGATTTTTACATTTATGCGGACACTCTGGATTCAATTTTCCTTCAAATGTGTTCAATTCATGGCTCGCTTCGTTCGGTTTTTAATTTTTTTAATTAAAAAAACTTTAAAAAAATTAAAAAACAACGACAACAAAATGTGGACCAAAAATAAAAAATCCCAATTCTGAAATCTCACACTTAAATCGAAAATGTGAGTGGCATGAACGATAAGTTTCAAGCCCATAATTGATAATTCTTGTACTGTTACATAATATTCCTAATACAACATAACTGGAAATTAAAACAATCTTCGTAGATAGAAACAGTTTCCTTATTCATCAACAATAGAAGAAAGCCCATCACTCAACATTCGAAATCTGACCTTGCCACAAGCACGTCCAATTCCTACAAAATATGCACATGGTCCTTCCGTAAGTATATTTGTTTTTACAGCAATAATTACAAAAAATCCTTTGTTTTGTAATTTGAATTGTATAAAATTATAAAACAAAAATTATTAGACAGGAAAATATCTTCAAATATTAATAGGCTTACCCTTATCTAATAATTTAAGATATGCATTTAAGACAACACAATATTTTTTAAATTAGAAAAATGAAAGAATTACTGCTCTATATGGTATAAAACAATACCTTGGGAAAGTAAGCTGCATCCCACATTAAGAAGCATTCAACTGCAAAGCAAAAGTCCATATTTGATTGGTATGAGGAAGCTTAATTAGAAATCATCGATGTTTGAAGAAAAATATCAATTTGAAGAGCATATATATATAGGATGATTTCTCATTGGGAAAACTAAAAAAGAGCATTTATATGGGATAAATGGATAACCTTTTGTATTCAGTAGGATGCTGGGCGCCTATGCGAACCAGTAGTTACTGTAGAATTTTAGACGTGGTATGTTTGGATGTGGGTCTAAGGCTTCAATTATGTCTGCTCTCTGAATACTTCCAGCCAAAAAAATAAATAACTCCTGGGTGTCCTGAAGTTGAGCTTTTCTAGGCTGCTCCATATTGATTGAATTTCCCACCACTTTCAAATGCAGTACATGGAGGTGCTTCAAGTTTTCAAGATCAACAAGGCTAAATGCTTTAGCATCATTGCGATCAGCTCTGGCAATGAGCCCCCTTAATTGTCTAAGAGATGTCAATTTCCGAACTCCTTTTGGGTAGTGAGTGAGAGCAAGGCAAGCATTAGTAAAAAGAAACCTCAAGTTGATTAATTTTCCTATGGAATCTGGCAATTGCTTGAGATTTTGGCAGCCCGTCAAATCCAAATACTCCAAATTAAGTAGGTTGCAGAGTGCTTCAGGCAGCCCTTCTAGTTGATTACTCCAAGGCAAGTGAAGGAATCTCAAGTGCATCAATTTCTCGATTTCTTCAGGAATTTCTTTACATAAATGATCAGTTCCATCGGGCCAACCAACAGACAATAACCTTAAGCGTCTGCATCGATTGAACAAGCTGCACAAGGCCTCAGAAGTCAGTGCACCCACCCCAGTGAACGTTATAAGGGCTCGCAATTTTTCTGCATCGGAAATCATTGTAGGAAAATTGATCCCTTTATCAACCATCACTGTCATGTGACGAAGCAAGTGATGAAGCTTTGACCCATCATCTCTAGTCAAATGATCGGCCTTGATCTCCAATGTCCTAAACTCATTCTCTGCCAAAAACTGAGCAAACTCATGTACCATGTCATGCATCTTGCAATAAATAATCTTTTCATCATCCATTACAAGATCTTGAAAGAAAGAGCGGGCCACTAAGATGCGAAAGTACTCTTCTCCTTTTGACTCCAATTCTGAATTACGGTCTGACCCTAAATAACCCATTGCCATCCACTGTGGAATTATCACATGATGCCAAATTTCGTGATCTTTGGGAAAAAGAACACAATACAAAAAGCATTGCTTTACTGGAGGGGGCAAATCAAAATAACTCAACAACAAAGGAGCAAAAATATCCTTTTGTGCCATTTCGAGTACCCATATTTCACTATTCAGGACACTTTGCCACTCTTGTACATTTGTTTTAGTCTTTAAAAGGCTTCCTAATGTTTTTGCAGCAAGCGGTAAGCCCTTACACTTCCTTGCAATTGCCCTCCCAATTTTCTCCAAATTCTGATCTTCCCTTCCTTCTAATGCTATACGTTTAATTATTGACCAACATTGCTCGTCACCCAATTTCTCCAGAGAAATGATTTGTGAGAAAGAGGAGCCCATCATTTTTGCAACTTCAACATCACGTGTAGTAACCAAAATTCTGCTTCCTGGGGCACCAAATTTGAAAGCGGCTTTCAGTCCTTCCCACCTCTCACCATTTTTTGCATCCCAAACATCATCTAAAACAAGAAAATATTTCATTCCCTGGATAGAGCTAGAAATCCTTTCCAAAAGGAACTGCAATGGATTCAATTCTAGGCCATATGCAGCATTATCTCCAAGTTTTTCAAGCGCTTGAATGATTGCCCTTGCAACTTTGTTCTCATTAAAAAGGTCAGAGACACAAACCCAGATTACCCTGTCAAAATGCTTTTTAACTTCATTGTCATTACATATCAGTTGTGCAAGAGCTGTCTTTCCTAACCCCCCCATCCCTACTATAGATATGGTAGGGATTACTTCACCAACCTCCTCTTCACCACTCCCTCCCCACAAATAGTTTAGCATGTATGCCTTCTCCTTATCCCGACCACATAGTTTTGACAGATCCACAAAAGATGAAGTTTCTGGCCGTTGTTGAGGATGATTGATTGTGTTACTTATTGACATCGACAGCAATTGATATTTCTCTTTCTCCTTCACAATATCATCTATTCTTTGATTGATTTCCTTTATGTTGAGAGCAATTTTGCGACGGATACAAACACGACGAATAGAAAAGCACGACATCAAATTCCATAATACCTGTTTAAAATTGATAGTAACTCCTTATTTTAGAAATACTTGATGTTTTGTAAGACATTATAATTTTAGAGGTTGAGACTTCTTGCAGAGCCAAAAATAATTTTTAGGGGACAAAACAATACATTGATTAAAAAATGCTGCATCTATATAAATTAAAAAGCTGATAAAAGAGAAAAATTTCTAAAAAATTATTATAAACAACATGTATTAATTTTTAATGATAAATTAATAACAATTGATAAAGTAATATAAATGCCATCAATTGTAGAACAAAATGAATATATATAATAGTAAAGAACACTTCTACAAAAATGCAAAATAAAATGTTATTAGTAAACATTTTGTGAAAGGAGTATATTGAATATTTTTTTATTTAATTAATGCTTGTTTTAAAAATTTTTGTATTATCTATATTTTTTCCTTAACCTTTTCATTATCACTTAAAAGTGTTCTTT